GCAATCGTCTGTATATATCCACGGGGGTGTGAGTGGTATGGTTATTGTTGTAGGCGTGTGCGTGAGCGTATGGCATGGGTGTGTGTGTGTGTGTGTGAGTAATCGTCTGTATATATCGTACGGGGGTTTGAGTGGAGTGGTTATTGTTGTAGGCGTGTGCGTGAGCGTATGGCATGGGTGCGTATGTGTGAGGATGATATGTGGTGTTGTGGGTGTGTATGTATGAGGATGATATATGAGGTGGTTGTAGGTGAGTGTGTGTGCGTGCTAGGAGCGTGTATGCTGCAGATTTACACGTTTAAAACTGATACTCATGCAGCAGTCGCGAGCAAAGAAGTGCTCTTTGTATAGCCAACAACGCGTACATGCCCACAATCACGCCTAGGCCACTTGTGCACATCTGCGTCAGAGGACTGTAGTCATGCAATACAACGACTGTAGTCATGCAATACAATGACTGTAGTCATACAATACAATGACTGTAGTCATACAATACAATGACTGTAATCATACAATACAATGACTGTAGTCATACAATACAATGACTGTAGTCATACAATACAATGACTGTAATCATACAATACAATAACTGTAGTCATACAATACAATGACTGTAGTCATACAATGCAACGACTGTAGTCATACAATACAATGAATGTAGTACTACAATGCAATGACTGTAGTCATACAATACAACGGCTATGTGATGGTTGCGTGTTGTAGTGGTGATCGTAATGTGTGTCCTTTTATGCCTTGGCGCGTCAATTGACTATGACCACAGAATGCGCCCGAGGCCGACCGACGGCGCTACATGCGGAGTAGGAGTAGGACCAAGTAGAAAAACGCGGGAGAAAGAGAGCAAAGACGAGAGTAAATCTACTCCTTCGGAGTAGAATCAAGAGCAGAAAGAGCACTTCCCAATGGCATACCCACACTCCCTCACCCACTCACTCACTCACTCACCGTTTGCTCCTGCGAGTCTATATTGAGCTGATGATCGAACACCAGATTGGGACCTCCGTCTGCGCCCGTATCTGAGCTCAACAGATTCCATTGGCCCGAGTCCACATCGTATCTATAGAAGTCTGACTGGATGTTCTTCGTCGCCCGACCGTCTACCTCTAGATAACGGCCCAGCAGGTATATGCACCGATTCACCGGATCAAAACAGGCCTGTGTGGTGGTGGGTGTGTTAGTATAGTAGGCGATGATGCTGTGTATATGCACCGATTCACTGGATAAAAACAGGCCTGTGTGGTGGTGGGTGTGTTAGTAGGCAGGTATATGCACCGATACACCGGATCAAAACAGGCCTGTACGGTAGTGGGTGTGTTAGTATACTAGGCGATGATGCTGTGTATATGCACCGATTCACCGGATCAAAACAGGTATGTGTGGTGGTGGGTGTGTTAGTAGGCAGGTATATGCACCGATACACCGGATCAAAACAGGCCTGTGCGGTGGTGGGTGTGTTAGTAGGCAGGTATATGCACCGATTCACCGGATCAAAACAGGCCTGTGTGGTGGTGGGTGTGTTAGTATAGTAGGCGATGATGCTGTGTATGTCAGGACTCTTTGCACTGGCATACAGGTGCCGAGCAGGTCGTAAACGTAAAACGGGACGGAGTATGTATACGTTTGGTATATGTGGCATGGCAGATACACACAACAACGCTCCACGGAATCAAAGCCTGCCTGTATGATGAAGACAGGACAGACTGCGCATGCATTCACCATACATACGAAGTAGAGATATGTGCAATGGTTGTAAAGTAGAGATATGAGCAATGGTTGTAGACCATACATACGAAGAAGAGATACGTGCAATGGTTATAAAGTAGAGATGTGCGCAATGGTTGTACAGACCGGCGCGCGCATAGCATCTCTGCACCGAATTTGATAACAGGTTAACCCGCACACGACCCAGGTGCAATGGAATAGTATCAGAAAAGGGTAATGCGCACACATGGTCGTTGCGGAGACGTCGGATGTACTTGAGGGCAAATAAGGTGCACCAAAGCGGAGCACACACTACAGTGTCGTATATCGGATTGTGAGCGGTGGCTGCTACGACTATACAACGACTGTATAATTGGACTGTGTTTGAATACTTAGATAATTACGACTATAACGATACAGCGAGGCATCCGGTGTATATATTTAATAACGGGCGTTAGGACTCAATCCGCCATATCTCTCTCTTTCTATATATATCTATATATGTGTGTGTGTGTGTGTATGCGTGTGTGTGTGTGAGAGTGTGTGTGTGTGAGAGTGTGTGTGTATACATACAAATATAACTATATTATACAT